ATTAATTGAGTCACACCCACGGAATTTTATCAATAATTAAAAACGATAAATCCGTATTTGTAGCACAAGTGATGCACCTTTTAAACTTAATACGATTTTAGGAAATCCCACTTAGTTGACTCTCGATAAATTGGCCTAGCATAACTCGTTGATTATTTTATTATTTTGTAGCCCCAAAAGCCCGCCTTAAGACTCTGGCAGTACTGAACTTGATATATTTGATAAACAAGGCACCCTTCAAGGAGGAAGGTTAGAATATAATTGCTTTTACGACCGTGTATTGCACCCGGTTTCGATATGTGGATAATTACTTTAAAAAAAATTCCTATTAAAGCTGTATTCAGATGCACAGACATTAAAGTAACATGCTTCTGCTTTATTTTATTGTAAGGGGTTTCTTTTTATGTAACATACATCCATTCCTTCAATTTCCTCCGTAACCTGCCTGCAAATAATTAAATTTTTATGTTTTAATTAAAGTGTGAGAAGATAAAACAGAAGTATTGCAGAGTTCTCTTTCCAGATTGAATTCAGTTGAGAACATCAATAAAATGATTTGTCATAAGCTTCTCCCGAATCTTTAATTTTATTGTCCTGGTTTTTTTTTTCACAAAGTCTCTTTTATATCTGTGTGTGTCAGCTTATGAGTAAAACCTCAGTGAATAGATATGCCTTTTTCAAATTCATAAATGGCATTTCCTTTTCATCCTTGTAAACAGATATTACACATTTCTTTAACTAAAATCTGAATCAAGAAATCAACTTAATTTCAATGAGTTTGAAACTTCATTCTACATAAGAACACTTTACTGGAGTATAATGTTATATTTATTTGCTGTCTTTCTCGTACATATGATTACCATATGTGTCTTAACCCTTTAACTCTCAAGATTTCATCAGTAATTCTCCTTACTGTCTGTCATACAATTTATGTGATGTTATTTTGGAGAATTTGGGATTGTATCAACCAATAATTCCCTAATTGATATTTTTCTTTATTCTCATTACTTGCCCACTTGATATCATTCTGATAGTGTGAGGAGAAATTCTGTCTTGGTCACTAGTGGGACTAAGAGGGTTAAAATGGGGGATTTCATTACTTTGTCATGATTCAAATATGCTTTTGCTTTCAAATGTAACAAAACAATGAGACGAGAACCTGATGTTTTGAAACACTTACAATGGAAGAACCTGTTGCTGGTAGCTTATGTCCTATATATGTAAAATTTTCTTGGGAAATGCTTTTCAAAGCTGATAGAAATAAGCTGCTTGCAAATAATGAAAAGTAAATTGACAATCATACCTTAATGCTTGACATGCTTGAGCGATGTCAATATCTCGACTATAGATATCGACTCCTATTGCACCGAAGAGGCTGATTCGTCGGTGCCACTTTTGAGAAGTCCAATGATCCTGATGTATTAATAACTGTGGCGTTAAAGTATGTGTAGCTCGGAAGTTATACATCTGTTGTTTTTAGACATAGTACCACAAAAACTAGCGTCGGTGATCCCATTCTCAAATTGAAAGTGAGTGAATAAATATTAGATATGGCTAACAACTGCATAAATTAACGTCAAGGGTCACGTATCTCAGAGAAACGTGATCACGAATTTTTTAAAGAGGCCAAAAATTTTTTTGCTCTGAAACGTATTGTTAAGATGAGTCTTTCCTGTTATGGGATGTTTGTCGTTATACAATGCTGTCAATTGGAGATATTTGCAATTAAAAAACCTTATTTTTTTGGAATAGTTGCGTGACAATTAATGATTAACTGCTCAAAGACTGGCAGAAGTTATATCAAATTACCTCAATTTTAAGGAACTGTTTCCTTGAGGCTCAAATACCTCTTGACCATAATAAGATTAAAATCCATCGCATTCTATTAGTGTGAGAGATTCGTTGGAAATGCATTTTTCGAGCTAATTTTAGCCTTTAACCCCAGGGATTTGATGAGGGGGTTCTAATACCCCAGGGATAAACCGGGAGCCCGAACTACTCTGGAGTCTTGAATAACCTGTATTGGAATTAATATTTGATGCTAGAATACTAATCACCAGAACTGCATCGCCAGAATTATTTTGATTATAAGACGAGTATCAAGTCACCTGGGTTGAGGAGAAACGATCAAAGAAATTCACTGAGAAGCATTGAGAAACAAAACAACCTTCTTGCGATCATAGCGTTTGTTGATGTTTTCTGCGCAAGAAAGCGTCAGTGGACCGCATGCAGACACTCCTACCAGATGCATCCTTCATCCCGCCACCTTGCCGCCTTAACAATGCACAACAGTGCTATCTGTTTTACTCTGTAACCTGGTTTAAAAAACCACTCACGATATTTTCTAAGATTTCTCTCAAGCTGTCTTTTATTTTAGCGTCTTTGGAATTACTCCAAATTCCAATAAGAAAGTTTGCAAAAAAACAAATTGTGTAAAGTGTGGCAAAAAACATATTTTGATTCCTTAAACAACATTTTGACAATGACCTGACTTGAAAACGATTAAATCGCCATGCAAACATACATTATCTCAAACATCACTATGCGTAAGAGACTTGTTGAACCAGTTTCAAAATATTGCTGTCGTAATTTTTCCACACTATAGTAATAAAATACTCGACCTTAATGGCATTTTCCATGGTCCTATTTAGAAATCCAAGCCTTTTTTTTTTTTCAGTTTCAAAGCACTCAGAAATAGTACTGGAACTGACCAGAACAAAAGATTTCTGTTGAGATTTTGCATCAGAAATTTAGGATTCTGTTAACGAAACCTAAAACAAAAGGCTTTGCGAGAAAACCCTGTAAGACTTAACAGGCTCGTTTTGGATGCTTAAACTACTGTTTTAACTTTCCTGATTTCACTTCATAAGAGCCTTACGTTAAAAATGTTTCGTGCTAATTATATCGGCCGGATAAGATAATTTTTGTAAAGAGATAAATATCTCTCCAATACATAAACCATACCTCCTTCTGAAAAGTTCAAAAAAGAGAACGCAAAAAACTGAAATTATTATGCTTAATTGAAGATTGCTCATTCTTTAATTACACAATGAAATAACGGATAGAGTATTTCCTCTATTCATTCTATTTGTTTATCCATTTAAAAGTCTCTGAGGTCTGTTTCCTTCAAGGTATTCTCATCATTCATCCGTCGGGGTCTTCTTTCCTGTAAAAAAACGTAAAAAAATAAAAACCATATTATTATAAATAACTAATCAACATTTCTTAACTAAAGCAATACAGAGATTCTATATTTTACACCTAACAGGGAAAGTTAATTGTTACTCTTAGAAAACAAAAACAAAAAAAACGTAGAAAACTAGCCTTGATATTCAAGGTGACGAAGCATTCCCGTCGACAGTCAGCGACCAGTAAACCATAGCCACCTTCACGTTTAATTTAACTTTGATTCGTGAAATATCTTTTCGGAACGAGTCTTACCTCTGCATGTCAAACTTGAGTCTCACATCATCTCCAATCAGCGTAAACGAAGCCCACTCAGACACTTTGGTCAAGCCGTTTTTTCTCATCCACTTCATGGCCTGATGAAGGGATTCACTGGCACTTTTTCCTTTAACAAGGTGTTCGTAAAACCGACTCATTAGCTTCTCTGTTGCTGAGTCTGAAATAGCCCACAGCGCAACCAACACCGAGCGGGCACCAGATGCTAAGAACGCACGGGCAATTCCTATGACTCCCTCGGCTCTAATCTCTCCACTTCCACTGTGACAGCAGCTAAGTACCACCAGTTTAGCTCTGACTTTTACTCGTGAGACATCAGCCATCGTCAACATGTAAGCTTCCTGTGGAGGGACAGCGTTTCGATTGTTGGGAGTAGGAATGGGGGAGAGGGCAATTTCTCCCCTCTCGGCGTTACCATGGGCAGCAATATGTATCAGGCTCACTGAACTTATCCGCTCAAGCACCGCCTGCTTCGTTGCTTCCTTTTCTAGCAGAGGCGGAACACTCACTAATCGTCCGACCATCTCCGCTTCTTTTCTTGCACCTGGCAATGATGGCAGCCGATCAACCTCGGGATTGCCTATTATCAAGGCACCAGTGTTGCTGTGATAGTCCTCTGGGCTATCTTGAATCATCTTGAGTGTCGTCAAAGAAGGAATGACACGAATCCTATGAGTCTCCGACAGGTATTTGGTTCCGTCCTTTTCTCTTAGGGCAGCAAAGGGAACTTTGTACAAACTGCGGTCAGGAACAATAATAACTTCAGGCTCCTCGAGCAAATCGTAAACGGGGGCAATAAACATTTTGTAACACAAAGGTAGACTTGAAATGACTCTCTCGTCCTCTTCCAAGAGTCGCAATCTTTCTGACCTCTTTTGTTGAGGAGAGAGAGGTTGCAATTCAACCATATTTAAAGACCGATCTTCACAATCTTCAATGGGCAAAATACCAAGACTCCGGAAATTATTAGCCAAAAATTTACTCAAAGGCAAATCTTTGGGCAACCCAGCCTGAACTAGATTCTCTTCTAGTGATATTCTTCTATGGTGAAGGACTCCACTTGTTTTCAAGACCCACAAATGCAGATGATTCTGAAAATAAGAAATGTACAGACAAGTACAGTTATTTCTCTTTCTAAAAATGTTTTCAATGCCAAACCAAGATTGTGGATTAGCAGAGGTGTTCATTTCAACGGAGTACTTCTCTGCCATCAAGTCTGATAGGCCTCTAGCTCGACTCAACTCCTCAACATAAAGAGCATCACGAATTTTTCCAGTGTAACAAAGCAGAGTACAAAGCAGCTTGTAGGGAAATATTCCTGAGTCCTCCAGAAATGATGTTTTGAACTGATCATTGGCGCCCAAGAAATATCTCAGCTCCTCGTACTTTTCAATGCACTGTTGAAGAAAGGAAAGGGAGTCAGTGGTTTTCTCTTGTAATAAATACAAAACGGCGTATTCTTGAAGGATTTTGAACACCATTCTTCTATCTCCAATATCTCTGGATATGGATAAAGCTTTCTCCAAGCATACCTCCGAAGCTTCATAATCTCCACACATTCTATAGAAACTTCCAAGGATTGCAAGATGTGCTGCTTTCTTTTCCTCATCACCAATTTCAGCGCTGATATTAAGCGCTTTTTGGAGATACTCTTTAGCCTTCTCGTATTTCCCGAGCAACTGAAACACTGTACCTAGGTTTCCGTAGTCAGCTGCCTCTCCCTTAATGTCGCCAATTTCAATTCTGATAACAACTGCTTTTTGGTGATACTCTCTAGCCTTGTCATATTGCCCGAGCGACTGAAACACAGTACCTAGGTTTCCATAACATGATGCCTCTTCTTTTCTGTCGCCAATTTCAGTTGTGATGACGACCGCTTTCTTATGATACTCTATAGCCTTGTCGCATTGTCCGAGATAATAAAACACAGTACCTAGATTTCCATAACAAAATGCCTCTCCTTTTCTGTCGCCAATTTCAGTTGTGATGACAAGCGCTTTTTGGAGATACTCTATAGCCTTGTCGTACTGCCCGAGCACCTGAAAGACAGCTCCTAGGTTTCCATAACATAATGCCTCTCCTTTTCTGTCGCCAATTTCAGTTGTGATGACGAACGCTTTTTTATGATACTCTATAGCCTTGTCGTTTTGCCCGAGAAACTGAAACACAGTCCCTAGGTTTACATAACACAATGCTTCTCCTTCTCTGTCGCCAATTTCAGTTCTGATGACAAGGGCTTTATGGAAATGTTCTTTAGCCTTGTCGTATTGCCCGAGTGACTGAAAGACAGTACCTAGGTTTCCATAACATGATGCCTCCCCTTTTCTGTCGCCAATTTCAGTTGTAATGACAAGCGCTTTTTGGAGATACTCTTTAGCCTTGTCGTATTGCCCGAGCGCCTGAAACACAGTACCTTGGTTTCCATAACATGATGCCTCTCCTTTTTTGTTGCCAATTTCAGTTGTGATGACGAGCGCTTTTTGGAGATACTCTGTAGCCTTGTCGTATTGCCCGCACGACTGAAACACAATACCCAGGTTTCCGTAGTCAACTGCCTCTCCTTTAATGTCGCCAATTTCACTTCTGATAACAACCGCTTTTTGGAGATACTCTTTGGCCTTGTCGTATTGCCCGAGCGACTGAAACACAGAACCTAGGTTTCCATAACATGATGCCTCTCCTTCTCTGTCGCCAATTTCAGTTGTGACGACAAGTGCTTTTTGAAGATACCCTATGGCCTTGTTGTATTGCCCGAGCGATTGAAACACAGTACCCAGGTTTCCGTAGTCAGCTGCCTCTCCTTCAATGTCGCCAATTTCAATTCTGATAACAACCGCTTTTTGGTGATACTCTATAGCCTTGTTGTATTGCCCGAGTGACTGAAAGACAGTACCTAGGTTTCCATAACATGATGCCTCCCCTTTTCTGTCGCCAATTTCAGTTGTAATGACAAGCGCTTTTTGGAGATACTCTTTAGCCTTGTCGTATTGCCCGAGCGCCTGAAACACAGTACCTTGGTTTCCATAACATGATGCCTCTCCTTGTCTGTCGCCAATTTCAGATTTGATGACAAACGCTTTTTTATAATACTCTTTAGCCTTGTCGTAGTGCCCGAGCGACTGAAACACAGTACCTAGGTTTCCATAACATGATGCCTCTCCTACTTTGTCGCCCATTTCAGTTGCGATGACAAGCGCTTTTTGGAGATACTCTTTAGCCTTGTGGTATTGCCCGAGCGACCGAAACACAGAACCTAGGATTCTATAACATGATGCCTCTCCTACTCTGTCGCCCATTTCAGTTGCGATGACAAGCGCTTTTTGGAGATACTCTTTAGCCTTGTCGTATTTCCCGAGCGATCGAAACACAAAACCAAGGATTCTATAACATGATGCCTCTCCTACTCTGTCGCCAATTTCAGTTATGATGACAAGCGCTTTTTGGAGATACTCTTTAGCCTTGTCGTATTGCCCGCGCGACTGAAACACAGTACCTAGGCTTCCATAACATGATGCCTCTCCTTGTCTGTCGCCAATTTCAGTTGTGATGACAAGCGCTTTTTGGAGATACTCTTTAGCCTTGTCATTTTGCCCGAGAATCTGAAACACAGAACCAAGGTTTCCATAACATGATGCCTCTCCTTCTCTGTCACCCATTTCAGTTGCGATGACAAGCGCTTTTTGGAGATACTCTTTAGCCTTGTCGTATTGCCCGAGCGACCGAAACACAGAACCAAGGTTTCCATAACATGATGCCTCTCCTTTGATGTCGCCAATTTCAGTTTTGATGACAAGTGCCTTTTGGAAATACTCTTTAGCCTTGTCACATTTACCGAGCAACTGAAGGAACGCTCCTAGGGCTCCGTAACAGGATGCTTCTCCTGTTTTGTCGCCAATTTCGGTTCTTATGGCAAGGGCTCTCTCAAAATACTCCTTCGCTCTTTGGTTTTCGTTAAGTTTATAAAACATATCTCCGCATCTTTCGCAGGCGCTTGCTTCGTCAGTTTTTTCACCAGTTTGTCTCTTTATATCAACTGCTTTTTCATAAAGTTGTTTGGCATCTGTAAACCTGTTTTGACTCTCAAAAATCTCTGCTAGAGCTATGCTTACATTTCCTTCTTTTACTAAGTCACCAGACTCGCTGCATAAGACAAGAAGTTTCCTGCCGTATCTTTCCACACTTATGTAGTCAGAGATACTACGATAAGCGCTGAAAAGAACTTCATAGATGGCGCTGTAAAATTGTTGCAGTTGTGAATTAAATTGGTCTTTGCTGTTTCGATCGGTGTTATTTGCCAGAATCAAACATTCGCTGCATATCTCAATGGCTTTCTGAATGCGATCTGAGTTGAGCAGGAACAGGGCAATTAGTAAGGCGATGCTCATGAAAGCTATCATGGCTTCTGGTGTTAGGTTTCCATTGCCATCCTCTCCTGTCATTAGGGAAACATTGTTTTTAGTAACACAAAGTACCAAATGATTCGCTAATCTGGATCCATAATGAGTGACTACAAACAGGAACTCGTATGTGAAGTTACAAAAACGGGCTGGGTCGATTATACCTAGAAACTTTTGTAACGAGCTGAAAGTGTTAGAATTCCCAATAATAACTTAAAACAAAAAATAGGTGAAGAGGAGGCGTGCATAAGTACAACTGAAGCACATTAACGAATCACATTCGGTGAAACTTCTAAATTTAATCTGACCTGCGCATTTCTTAATGACAACAGACTGTGTGACTATCACGCTGTGAAAGTCAATAGTTATCCAAGTTACTTTTGATCAAGGCCCCGCGCTTGAGTTTGACTAGTGGTCGTGTGATAAACTCGCTTGTCATCTTTTATTTTACTTCAGTTGCGACATGACATGACTTAAAAGTCACAGGAAAAAGATAAACCAAACGGTATTTCTCTTCACTTTTTCTGTGAGAACTTTCTTCATGCATATTTTCTATAAACAATATTATTCAACGAGGTAAGTTTCTAAAGAAACTTTGGTGAGATGTTACAAAATAATTTGGCTTTACCAACTGAGTTGACAATGTATACGAGTATCTGAAGCTGAAGTTTCGAGCGTTGGCCCCTCATTTGATAATCTTGTGGAATAAATGATGTTTTATTGCCAGTACTCCGCAAAGAAAGCAGCAAAGAGTGTTCCGCAATATCAATAATTTTTATAATGCTTCGTTCTCCATCCACCACCGGCCGTATTTACAATGAAACCTCTTGATATCAAGCTACATGCAGTCGAGTTTTAAGCGTTTCAATTCTTAGGCTAACAAGAGAAAAACCTTTTACTGCAACTTTCTAGAAAATTTTCCTGACGTTCTGCAGTATAGCATGGAACATTTGAAAATATTTTCGTAGCAAGCTATTAGCAAATAACGAGCTTACTTATCAGAGGAATGTCCCTGAAAACATATCTGTTCTTAGCTGATGAGAATGTTGGACAAGATATGATGCCACAGAGGTTTGACGAAGTCTGGCTTTGCGACGAATTCATCTCACTCCGGTGACAATATTTGCACAACATGACATGAATTTATAGTCAGAGGACAGGACAGGACAAATAGGCACTCATTTTAGCCTCACTCACTTACTCACTTTATTTTTCTTTTTCTTACAAAATAATTTAGATTATGTTGACCCGCAGATAGCAAATTTGCTATTCGAGGCGGGTCAATCATCAACAAACATTATTTACAATATATAAAGAAAATTAAAGACTAAATAGTTAGATATTGTTAAATTATAAAGAGAAGCATAACTGGTAAATACATCAATAGTTGTTCAATAAAGTATAGAAGCAAATAAATTAGTACTGAAAGCAATCGGATCAATTTGTTTTAATTATGCAGTCCTTAAGTTTAGAGGAGATCTTTTCAACATCAAGATAAGAATCTTCATTATCTAGTATCTGAAATAAAGACGTTTTTATTTGTTCATTAAAGGAATGTTTTGATAACGTTTTGAATTCTTTCGGTATCTTATTCCAAATTTTGACACCAACACGCGAGAAAGCCTTTTTTTGTAGGTTAAGTCTAGAGTACTTTGTACTAAAGAGCTGCGATTTGGATGATCGAGTATTGTAGGTATGAATATGAGATGTTTTAGTAAATAGTTTCAAAATATGAATGGGAGCCCTCTGGTTGTGCACGTCAAACATAAGTTTACTTACGGCTTCATAATATAGGAACGTAACAGGCAAAATTTTTGCTTTGGCAAATAAAGGGATGGCATGCTCTCTTCGATCGGTGAAATAGATTAAGCGCAAAACTCGCTTTTGAAGAACTAAAATCTTGTTTAAATAAGCATTTGACGCATTGCCCCAGGCAAGGAGTCCATAAGTTATATAAGGTAGAATTAATGAATTGTAAATATTTACAAGGAAAGTAGAGGGAACGAAGTACCTCAGCTTTGCAATCATCCCTATTGTTTTACTTATTTTTACGATAACAGAGTCAACATGGTTTTTCCATGACAAATTTTGATCAATTAAAACGCCTAGATATTTGATAACTTTTTTGCTCTAAACTAACTCTCCGGTTTGTCTCACAATCTAGAATACCTATTTGTGGAGAAAAATGCATTTTTTTCTGACGAGGACGAAAAATTAAGAAATTTGATTTTTTTGTATTCAATGTCAACCTATTTGTAGTTAACCAGTCATGTACGTTATTCAACTCTACATTAACCGTTTGCTCGATCGCCTTAAGATTCTTATCAGCATAAAGTATATTAGTATCATCCGCAAAGCGATAAAATTTTAGTTTATCAGAACAAAGGTGAATGTCATTTATGTAAAGTAAAAATAGAAGAGGTCCAAGGACTGATCCCTGGCGGACACCACAGGGGGAGATAAGTTTTGTTGATAAGTGCTCTCCAATCTGAATTGTTTGTGTTCTATTTTTTAAATATGATTGAAACCAGTCATTTATCAATCCACGGAAACCGTAAAAGTTCAATTTATCGAGTAATATTTCATGATTGACCGTATCAAATGCCTTTTTCAGGTCAATGAAGACACCGCATGAGAAGTACCGTTTATCCATATTACGTAGTATATCTTCGACAATATCAAGTACTGCATGCTCTGTGGAATGTGACTTGCGAAAGCCATACTGTGAGGAGTACAATAGGTTGTTTTTGTCAATAAATTCCTTCATCCGGTAGTACAAAAGTTTTTCAAAAATCCTATTAAAATTAGACAAAAGAGATATTGGTCGATAGTTTGAAGGGTCGGTCTCGTCGTCACTTTTATATATTGGCGTTATTTTAGAAATCTTAAGTTTTGAAGGATAGACACCAAGGATAACAGATAAATTGAAAATATGAGAAAGAACTGGAGATATGATATTGCAAGAAGATTTAAGCAGTTGTGTAGGGCAGGAGTATAAGCCACAGGATTTACTATTTGGTAGGGATAATATTTCCTGTTTAACTTCTTCTGGTGTAATGGGTTTGAAAAAGAAGGAAGAATCTGGTGATTTCAATTTACCAAGATAACTCATATAGTTATCTTTCTTTGGCAATTTACTTGCTAGTAAATTACCAACATTTGCAAAATGCTTATTTAGAATATTTGGTAATCTGGAAGGATTTTGTGTTATTTGATTGTTATTGCTTGGGTCTTTCAGCTTCGTTAACACTCTGCTTTTTGTCCTTTGGTTATTTATTAATTCATTTATTACTTTCCACGTCTTTTTCATATTATTTGTATTTTTCTCAAAGAAATCATAGTAATAACGTTTTTTACTCAAACGAATAAGGTTTGTAATTTTATTTCTATAATATTTATATTTGCTGTGTATTCCATTTACATATAGCTTGTTCTTTATTTTTATTGATGTCCTTATTCCTTTTGTTATCCACGGTTTTGCAAGTTGTTTAATTTTACGTTTGGATAAAATTTTAACAGGCGCACTGTGTAATTAAGGTCTTCATTGATAAAAAGCGCGACGCCTCCTGACGCCAATGGTGTGGCTACGTATTCAAAAGTGTAACCTGGAATTTCAAAGCTAATATTACCAGTCGTTTTAGTTATTTTCGTTTCTGTAAGTCCAATAATATCAAACTGAAAATCCATTTCTGATAAGTAGTTGGTTTGGAGTTTTTCGAGATTGTGATTTGAACTGATGATATTGTTATGAAAAATCGAAAAGCTCGTTTCCATCACGTCTCTTATTTGGGTATTTAGGTTTTTATTAAAATTATACGGAGAATAATAACGGCTGTAGATTTGTCGACTGAATAAGTTATTGTTGGTATTTAAACTGTCATCAAGATTTGAGTTTAGTCTGAAAAGATCAAGATCATGCAAACCATTTAGGTTTTCGAGTTGTCTCTTAGTTGGTAGCTGATTTTGGATCAGAGAGTTGTTAAATTGCCCGTGGTAGAGAGTTAAGTTGCCAGTGAAGTTATAATATGGAAGTTCTTTAAGAAAGAGTTTTCTATTTCGGCCGTTGTGATTAAGAATTTACGAATACCACAAGTAACCGTAAAGTAAAGCTTAAGTTACGGTAAAGTTACTCCAAAAAACAATACAAAATTGTTGATCTAATAACTCATACTTAAGAAAGTGAAACGGCAAAAACAATGAAAAACAGTCAGCACCTTTCCGTTAAAAACATCTTGCCTAACGTTAAAACCACAAAATACTGTTCTGCTCGTTTTTGACCGTTAAAAAGATAGATAAACGTTTTGGTTGTAATTTACCAGTATTCTAATTCATAAAAGTTTGCCTAATGACTTGAGGGAAGTAAAAAGATTGTAATCTCCTTTCTCCCACATTTATGCGGGAATTTAACCACGAGTTTGTGAAATAGCAATGACGAAATGTTTAGATTTCAGAGAGACTGTTGTTTGAGTTCATTTGAAAGCCTAGCAAAGCTTCTCGACCAATTTAACGGCTGAGCTTCGTAAACTATTTGCAGCTAGAAAAGTAATCGTAGTGATCACTTTCACTTCCTTTACTTCGTCACAGAGAATTATAACATATTTCTTCGTGAGCTAGCTGTGTCATAGACTGACATCTCTTCTTATGCGAGACCTTGGTACTTTCACAAAAGCGAAGAAGGTCACGTGAATTACTAATAAAAGTTATGGACACTGGAAAACCACGAACTGTAACACCGCGAGCTTACTTATCATCATTAGCATCAGTAAAGGACGGTCCACGTTATATATATGTCTTAATATAGGACTGAGTTTAGTTTTTGTTCATCGGCGATTGTCGAAACCATCAGTTTCTCAAATTAAACTATACTTCACAATCTTAGCTAATGAGGTTGAAATATATTGTATAAAAACCATAAAGGTTTGAAGAAAGCCATTTAACGGTGGAGATATGAAGCATCCGTTCAAAGGAAAAGTACGCTGATACTATGTATGCAATTACAGTGAATTTAAGTAAGTTTCAGTTTCTCTGAGAAAATTAAAAAC